AAATTTGTATGATGTGTTCTAGTTCCATAAGTATCCACTAGGACGGCGCTAGTAATGCTAAAAGGAAAATATCCCCCGAACACTGCCTGTTGTAAAACATTTCGTAGTCAACCCCCCACACCCTCCAACCTTGTCGTGTCCAGTCCTGTATAACATTTATACGCATGATCATAATTGAGAACAATTTATTTCTCTACGAGATCCACAGTTCTTGCAATAGAGTACCTATCGGTTAATATCATAATTATTTAAATAATTACAAGCAGTATAAAACTATTGGATATCTTAAAATGCAGATATAACTCCATAGGCACATACACTCATATAACCATAGGTTAGTTCATACATATTTAGATACTTCCATATTTGTATAATATACTGAGCATCTTTTTACAGGGAAGTTTCATCAGTTTAAGCGGGCATTTCTACATGTTCCACCGCGTAACACAACATTTCGAAAAGTATTATTACATTCATTATAACAAACAACTAAACATACTATAAAACTTACATATTATTGTATTATATATAATCATTTATTCCCATACATGGCACACATATACAACATTCATACATAAATAGGTACTTTCATATTATATACACCATCACACACATCTAATCTTGTTATACAACTTACATATCAATATAAGACACTTCGTTACATATAGACACGCTCACACATGAAATACATACTTTAAAATACTTAGTCAAGTAGTATGATTTGGTATGTTCTGATGCCACAACCCATTATCCCATTATCCTTGCTGATCCGCAACCCGCATCCCTCAGCCTTCAGCACTCATCCCTCAGCGCCTCAGCCCTAACCCCACCACCCTCACCCTTATCATCATCCCGCTGCTCGCGTACGTGCGTTACTTATATTATTGTTATCACACGTTATCACATGTTATCGTACATTATCACTGTTATCATATTATTTCCGTTATCGTATTTTATCACATGCTACGCCGCCACCCGAAAAAAAGCTAAACATTTTTTTCCTTACCGGTATTCGAATCCGAGTCCGTCGGTTTCGCGATCACCGTACCACTGCGCCATCCCGTCACATATACTTTATATTAATAACTTGCACTATTTAACAGGTACGTATTACTTACTTTACATAAAACTGCAAAAGAAACATTTGTAGGTACTAATAGCTTGCAGCTGCGTATTGACATTAGGAGCCAACTATAGACATCCGTTCGCACGCTCGCCGAACATTATAAAATATTCAATAAATGACCATTATACCTATAGTATATCGAATAGAAGAAGCATTAGCTATCAATTCAGCCTGTATAATAATAGTCAGTCTACAGACTGTCTTAATAGCCACCTATCACGTTTGCACCCATCTTAACATTAGACCACAATGGTGCTTCCGTCGTATATTTCCTGCCATTAGATATTATTCGTATTCAATATTTGTACACACACACAAGGAAACATTATAAAATAATCAATAAATGACCATTATACCTATAGTATATCGAATAGAAGATACCAATTAATGAAAAATACACTAACCCTAATAGCCTAATTATGGTCATAGCCAGGATGTCTTAATAGCCACCTCTCATACACTAATAATACAAGTATCTGCCATATCGAAGAAGGGGCAATTCACACGGCTATTATACTATTGTCTTGTACATACAACTATGCTGAAACAACTGACACTTCTCTTTAGTCCGTCTACTGCGTTAAACCAGTGTACACGTATATTTTTCTTGCTCTCTAAGTTTTTTTTTTTTTTAAACAGTTTATCTAAGTGTTTAAAAATAATTTTAAACATGGCTGATTCTTTCACCAACAACGATGCCCTATACAAAAAGAAGAATTATACGTACGTTCCTCCGACACCGCCTTGTAACGATACACAATTATCGATACATTTACTAGTAACGAAATACGTGGCGCCATCTGTGCACGAATCAAGATACCACAATGTTCCTCGTGGTAAACGTACGTACCTACTTACAGTAAACTTGTAATAAATACTTATTACAAGTTCGGAAACATACATAAATCAATTTCATTTGCATTTACGTAAGAATAAAGAACCAGCATTCCAATACCAAAACAACCCGTGTTTTGCATTCTAACAACTGGCGCCCAACTACAGGACTTCAAAAGAGAAATTGAACAACCAATTAGTCAACCAACTAAGACAACAAATTGCAGATAATGAAGAAAAATGTTTACAAAAAATTGCAGAAAACGAAGAAAAATACAAAGAAAAATCACAGAACTAGAAGACGAATTGAACGAAATTAAATTTAATTATAATAATCTAAATAAAAAACAAACATATACAAATGCTTCGAGACCAGAACCAAGTCACATCAGTGAAATGACACGTCCGTCATTTTATGGAAGCAACCGTGACATGCATCCCGTTGACTTTCTACAACGTCTAGATGAATATTTTGCAATTAAACAATTATATGTAGGAGAAAAAATAATCGTGGTGGGAGATTGCCTGAAAGCAACCGCACTCAACTGGTTTTCGACCATACGATTTCAATTAAGGGATTATGATGATTTTCGAAAAGCATTTATTGACGAATATTGGTCAAGAGAAATCCAAATCCAAGTATGGAGTCAGTGCCTCAGCATTACACACATACCTCAAAATACCAATTTTCGGGAACACTTCGCAACATGGGCCACCAAGTTAAGGCACCTAGAAGTACCTCACCTGTCAGAGCCGGAAATAGTCAAGCATATTGCAAAGCACTACCCAGGCTATCTAAGAGCCATCCTGGTATCAATGCCAGAACGAACTATAGTGTCAGCAATGAAAATATTAGGGGAAGAAGGACAAAATCAACCTCATAAAGATGACACCCGTCAGTAACCTCAAAACAAGAACCAACACGAGAACAATCGTCCGAACAATAATCAAGAGGGACAAACGACACAACATAATTGGAGTCACAGGCCCCACAATCGAAACAACAATTACCAACACAACAATCGATGGAATAATCGACAAAACAATCAAAGCACACCAAGAGAAAACAATCAACAAATTAATCAAGTTACCACAAGCAATGAGAGTGATGAGCCAGAACAAACTATCAATCAAATGGAGGGAAATGGTGAGTCATTCAGTCCATACATACAATGCCTCATTGAGGGAGAAGAAATTGAAGTACTGGTAGACACCGGAGCAACAATCAGTGTGTTAACTAAAGAAGTGGTTGATACAATAATTAAGAAAAATCCACGAATACCACAGCTACCTGTCATTGGAGTTAAGATAAGTAATGCTGTCGGCAAACAAATATGCAAAACCTCAAGACAAGTGTTCTGTCAGTGTCAATTCAAAGAAGCCACTATAGTGTCTAATTTCATACAAGTCGAGGGACTTAATGAAAGGGGCATTATTGGGTCAGATATATTAAATAAATACAACATGCGAATTGATTTTGACAATCACACGATCAGAATGAAAATATCAGGACAAATCTACTTCATCCCGTTTTCAAAAAAATTACCAAAAATTACTGCACCACAGGGAAGCTTAAAAGATATGACCATCAATGAGTGCGACGAAAAAAAAAAATCAAGTAGCAATCAGTGATGAAGAAAGTGAACAATTCGATATACTCATGAACCAATACGCACACATTTTTTCCGACCGTCCCGGGAAAATCACTGCATTCGAATGTCAAATTCGAACAACAAAGGGGACACCCATTTACCAAAAACCATACCCCTTTTAGTATCAAAAAGTAATCGCATCGACCAAGAAATACAACGAATGCTAGAACTTGATATCATCAAGACGTGTGACCTGTATCAAAAATCAAAATGCGCCAATCAGCGAGCAAGGGGACCAACACAAAGCATCCTGCCCACTGAACCACTACAAATAGTATCCTTAGATCTAATGGGACCGTTGCCAAGGGGACAAGGCGGATCGAAATATATACTCGCCATACTAGACATATTTTCAAAATACATTCAATTATACCCGCTAAGAAAAGCGACCACAGAAACCATACTCAAACGAATCACTCAAGAATACATACCAAAAGTTGGAAAAATGCAATCCATACTCACTGACAATGGAACGCAATTTCACAGCAACAAATGGTACAACGCACTGACGAGTATGAACATCAAAACACTACACACAACTCCATACCATCCTGAAAGCAACCCAGTGGAAAGGGCAAACAGGGAAATAGGTAGAATGTTACGCACATATTGTCACAAAAAACATACTGCCTGGGTAAGATGGCTTACCAACATTGAATATTGGATAAACCACGCTACCCACGAATCCACCAGTTTCACTCCAGAACAGATACTTCACGGCACTGAATCAAACATAATTATAAGCAAGAGGATACACTTCCCAGAAAATACTATTATACCCGATCAGGAAAACATTATCGAAATAGTCAGAACCAAATTGAGAAAAAAGTCAGAAAAACGCAATCAACAAAAAGACAGGAATATGAAGTTCCCAAAGTACATGGTAGGCCAACAGGTGTTGGTAAAAGAACACAAACTATCATCGGCAGAAGACAAAGAAATCCACAAATTTTTCTTATTATACAAAGGACCATTCACAATACAATCAATAAATGAGAATAACACCATTACAGTATACAACGATCAGAATATCATATCGACACACAACATGAAGAACGTCAAGAGGTACATGCCCCCTGATCCAGGAAAGAGCAATACCGAAGACACTTCCGCAAGATTATAAACAGAAGCCAATAAGACCATGTTGTCATTTATCCAAGTACCTATCATAACGAACTTTTATTTTATGTACTTTTAGATGGATGACAACACGACCATCTAAATAATCATCTCTATCACCTAATAGCAGATTTATTCGGGCATGATTATTTGGATGAAGACAATAAAGACTTACAGATCAGAAAGCCAACTGAAACTCAAGGAGCAATTCGACGATTGGACATCCAACAAGCAACAAAGACGGTAGAGGAAAAGAAAATGGAAGCCAGATGTCTACGCATACGAAGACGCATCAAATAACCCGATATTCCTTAGAGCCGACCTTTGTCATACCAGATTCTGTCAAGCTAGTATTGAAGGAAAATCAACAAGTAACACCAGCAACAGAAACTACATTCAATAACGAAACTGATAACAGAGAACCAGAAATAGAAATACATATTGATACCATAGAGCAGAGCGCCATTGAGGAAGAGGTATCCACTACCCTTGAAGAAAAACCGATCAGCAACAGAGCCAAGAAGAAGAAGAAATGGGTAGCTAACATCGGAAAATCGAGCAAAACTGAGTAACCACATACACACAGATCCTCAGGATCTACGTCATGACTAAAATACAATGGAAAAGACATCCATATGTAACAAGCAAAATTTACATTAATTTTTTTTCTCTTTCTTTTACATATATTTCAAAATTTCAAAAAAAAAAAAAATAAATGTAAAAGGGGACTATGTAACGATACACAATTATCAATACATTTACTAGTAACGAAAAATAAAACTATCAGTTGAAAATGTGGACCCGCCTACATCGTTTATGAAACAAAGACACGGGGCGCTCCTACCTAATACGATACGTGCGCTTATCGTGGGTCCTTCTAGCTGTGGAAAAACAAATTTAATTTTCACTTTATTAACCAATATAAACGGAATACGATTTCACAATGTATACATATATTCAAAGACATTGGATCAACCGAAATATAAAATGTTGAGTGATATTTTATCAGACATTGATGGTATAAAATTATTTACATTCTACGAAAACGAACAAGTTATTGAACCTGAGAAAGCTTTACCAAACTCTGTGTTTATTTTTGACGATATTATTACTGAAAACCAAAAGATTGCAAGAACTTACTTCTCCAGAGGTCGTCATAATTTAGTTGATGTATTCTATCTGGCTCAGAGTTATTCAAAAGTACCAAAACAACTTTTGCCCGATAACGCTAATTTTATTGTATTATTCAAACAAGACGAAACTAATTTAAAGCATGTTTACAATGAGCATTGCTCTGGCGACATGTCATATTCAGAGTTTAAAGACTTGTACTTCGTGTTGTCGTCTGGGGAGATTTGAGTTTATCGTGATAAACAAAGACTGTGAACGTGACAACGGTCGATATCGTCATGGATTTGACACGTTCATCATTATATAAAGTGTTGTTATTGTGGAAATGCTTCATTCACAGTCATAGCTGCCAGTGGTGATGTACTCGGAGAACTGATTAAATCCAAAGAAAATATCAAGCGCAAGTATACAGCATTAAAACAAGGAAAAACCGACATTCATTCATTAGTATCAGAAACGTTAAGTCCGATTATCGAACCATTAGAAAAAATAAAACGTTTCGGTCCATCATCATTTCAAGCTCCACCTACACAGCAAGACATTGATATTCAAGATTCTCAATATTTTAACGACACAGACGATTCGCTAGCTTTTAACGACTGGTTTAAGTCTTACGATATAGACAAGACGTATGGACCTAAAGTACAAAAAAATGGAAGAGTAGTTTTAGGTAAAAAAGAAATTAAACTCGTCGACAATACGTTAACTATTGAAGATACATCATATCCACTAACACAAGGACTTGGTAATTTAATATTTTCAAAATCTCCAAAATTGTACACCAAAAACGATTTAGAAACATACAAGTCTATATTAATTCAAACATCGACGCATCTAAAAGCAGATGGGAAAAAAATTTAAAAAATCGGAAATAAATATACAGATATAATCCAAAATCTGTTTCCATCAGGCGCTGGGCTGTCAGTTAAATTACAAAAACATAATTTAGTATTCTGGAACGACCCAAACGAGTTAGTCGATCGATTACGACTTCTTTTAGCTTCTAAAGCTGCTGGTAATACAGGCGTTTCGAATGAAATACTCTCGATTTTCGAAGAATTGCGTGAAGCAGGGTTAATAAAACGTATTCCAAATGTCTAAACGTGATATAGCTTATGAACTCCACAAACCAGCTAGAAAAAATTATACGAGGCGTAGAGTTAATGTTTATGACAAAAACGATCTATGGCAGGCAGATTTAGTCGAAATGATACCGTATTCGAAAAAAAAATAAAGGCTATAAATATATTCTATGTGTAATTGATTGTTTTACTAAATTTGCATGGGTAATAGCGTTAAAATCTAAAACTGCTAAAGAAGTTTCCAGCGCAATGTCTAAAATACTGATTAAACGCACACCAAAACTATTACAGCTTGATAATGGTAAAGAATTTTACAATTCTACATTTGATGCGTTAATGTCTAAATACAACATACACAAATATTCTACGTACAGTACTATGAAAGCGTGTATTGTAGAACGTTTCAACCGCACATTGAAAGAAAAAATGTTTAGAGAGTTTACGGCACGTTGCTCTCACGAATGGGTTTCTATTTTACCTTCATTGATTAACGAATATAATAATTCAAACCATAGAACTATAGGAATGACATCTGTACAAGCTGATGCTAATCCTACGTCAGTGGAAATAAAGAAACGAAAAATTATTAATGGATCAATCAAATTTAACGAGGGTGATAACGTTCGTATTAGTACATATAAAGGTGTATTTGAAAAAGGTTATTTACCGAGCTTGTCTACAGAAATATTCAAAATCGTTAAAATTAATGAAACATTACCTACTACTTATCAGCTACAAGATTATACTGGGAAACCAATTGCTGGTTGCTTTTATTTAGAAGAAATATTGAAAACATACTATCCGAATGACTATTTTGTAGAGAAAATTATCCGTAAGAAGGGGGATAAAATTTGTGTCAAATGGCTAGGGTTTAATAATACACACAATAGTTGGATAAATGTACGTGAAATTAGAAAATAGTGTCAGTCTAGCTACAGACATGAACGTGTTTGGTAGTTCTCAGTCTAGTGAAACTAATACATTTTTAGTAAATCTCGAACAAATTGTTAAATCGTATTCGAATAAACTAGATAAATTCGAAAATTCAGTTAAAGAACAAAGAGAACAAATTGTTACATTTCAATCACTACAAATAGATTAGGTACATGAAAAGAATTAACGCATCCTTACAATATATTAAAGAAAATACAGACAAGTTGAAAAATAATCCTAATCCCCATAAACCATAATGTCTTCAGCCATCTTGGACATGCAATGGGTTCTTGGATTTAACAATAAATATATAATTAAAGAAATGTCTATAGTAGACACAGAAACTTAGGCGACCCAACACTTGATTTTTAAACATTCAAAATCGATGGAGGATAACAAAAGTCGTAAAACCAACAAGTGGCTGAATCGTAATTATCATCAACTACCTATTGAATACGGCGATATCGAGTATGAAGAACTCAGCAAAATATTGAATTCATTAAAGTTCAACAGCATTTACGTCAAAGGTGAACAGAAAAAAAAAATTCTTATGGAGTACATACCACACGTCGCACTCATCAACATTGAAGACCTTGGATGTCCACGTTTGGATCAAATATGCGATGACGAAACTCTACCTTGTTGTATTTTTCATATGGAATTTAATCCTAAACAGTGTACATTTTATAAAGTTTTTGCTATAAGAAAATTGTTTATAAATAATTCTTAAAAATATAACAATAAACATAATTATATTTTAACATTGGTTTTTTATTTTACATAGGTAACCTAACATTTTCAATACATGGTATTTTACAATATAACAAAAATATATGCATTAATCTAAATCAAGTATTTACAATATATAACATGATAATATTTTCAATATATATAACAAACTATACAAATATATATACATAGTATTCAAAAATTAGAAATATATACAGTATTTAATTATTTAGACATGCATTCCCTTAGAAGTAATCTCATTAAATCTTTATCCAATTCCTCCCACTCACGTGATACTACTGGAAACTCATGATCAGGCCATTCAACAGTCTCCTCGGATTCAAGTTCGTTTTTCCTATAAAATTATACATATAAGTAAAATAATTTGAAAAATATAAAATAATTTAAAAACTTACTCTAAACTATAATGACCGTGAGCCAGTCTATGTATTTTATCGTCTAGCACCACTCTTTTGTCATCGTAGTTGTTGTATGTCAATTTATTTGTTTTGATTGTCATTAACTGGTGTTTAAAGGAGCGTATGGAGACATTTTCTGTATATTTATCGAGACTTTCATCTCCGAACAAACACTTAACATGATCCTCCAACGTCATATGGTTTTTAACCACATGCTGTCTTACACCCTTCGCCTTGATCTGCTCTCTCACCACATCCTCTTCTCCTGTTGTACGCGTATGATTTTGAACGTAGTGCACAAAACTCTGTCATTATATGTCCTTTTGCTTCATCAGAGAAAAACCCGGGCACCTTCTTCCTAGCTGTAGTGTAGCACGGATGGATAGGAGGCAAGTCCGCCGTGTCTAATCTATCCATCAAGTTGGGTTTCTCAATCAAGTCTTTGTAAAAATCTTCTGTTTTTATATGGTATACCAACGAATCTGAAATAATAATTAATATATATATATATATATATATATACATAAGAGAATAGTTTTAGTATATTTACCTGTGTCAGTAGGTATACATAAGCTTTATCTTCTCTCCATAATGTTTCTGCATTACGTTGTAGTGATAATCGTACATCATCGTCTTGGAAATGTCAAGTACAGCAAATCCCATGAAAAATATGTTAATAAATGTATTATAAAAGTGTAATTTAAAAAAAAGTATATATAGGTTTATCGAATTTGATTATTTTGTTTTCCAACGCCACCGCGTTCAGGTTTCCGCTATACTTGGTAGCATGTTTAAATGTCGTCTTATTAATAAGTTTTTGTAATCGTCTCTCACACGACACCAGCTCCATCTTCATCTCCTTTCTTTTCGATTGCATAGTCTTCCCTGAAAAAAGAAACTGTTGGTAAAATAGTTAAATTGGATTAAGTAAAGTAACATACCAAATACTGCATTATTCATTAATTTGAAAAAGTCTTTCTCAAATTCGTTCTGTGCCTTCTTCCTCATCTCTGTGTTTAAGTTAATGTAATCCGCCAACCATGTAGACTGGCTAAATTCTAAAACTCCATGTACCTATAAAAAATAAGAGAAATGTTAAAAATCTGTTTAAAATCATATAAAATACAAATATTTACTTTTTCAACTATTAACCCATTTTCAATTGCCTGCTGTAGGTTCCGACAATGTATAATATAATTTTTCTTCTGCTGAAACGTTGCCATGAATTTTTTCACCTTTGAACCACTCGTCACACTATTTTGTGGCAGGAAGGGCAGGTCGTTATGTTTGTCGTGTAAATGTTGTGGATATGTTATATCCACCTCATATACTCGTCCTTTGTCTGATGTGTCGTTCAAATCAGCTAATCCGTTACCTAACCCAATTGAAGTCACCGTATGGCATATACTGACACATAGCCCACCCATAGAGATTATTACCTGTAAAGTTTAAGTTTGTAAAAATGAATAAATAAATAAATATATTTACAGTCCTGGTATATCAACCATGACTTCTCCTTAGTTTCGTCATAGTCTGGGGTATTTATATTATTCGCTTTGGCATGTCTCCTGCTTGCCTACACTAATCCACCACGAATACCTAAAAAATTAATAAGATTATTATTATTATTATTATTATATTCATATTTTATAAATAATATACTGACCATTCTCAAACATCAACAACAACATGTCGTAATCACTCAACAGCTCCAACTTTTTCCCGGTAAACTTCAACATCGCGTCAAAACTCAATCCTGGTGCAGTAAAATAATACGCCGCGTCCAAGTTGTATGTCTTTATGCACACATCACGAAAATTTTCAAAGACGTCCGCCAACAGCAACACGTCGATTTTCAAGTACAGATCACTGTACTCGCCCAACGTCTTGCAGCCAAAGTGGTCCCAGACCTCCTTTGCATGCGTGTATTCCTCCTCCTTTATTCCCGACTCGTTTAACGTGCTATAAAAGTCTCTCTTCCTCGGTAGTCTCTCTTCATCCAACCTGCTCCAACTATCTGTGTACTCGTACGGGTACACTCCCTTCCGAGTCACGAGCGGCATATCGACTTTATTAAAAACTTTAGCGGTCTCACGGGTTCTCCAGACCTGGTGTTACAAGATTTTTAGCTAGAGTTGATAGTCCTGATGCCATGAATCTAAAAGTGTCTATGAAACGGATTTGGAATTTACTTGACACACTGTCTTACGATATAGTACCTCTGAAGGTGGGGTAAACTCAATTTTGCATAGATTGCAGTGCGTCGCTGCTTCATGAACTTGTATGTCGTCTGCGGACATATTTATCGGAATATTCGTCTTCAATAATTTCTCAACCTTCAACGATATATCCGTCACAGTTTCGACAAAATGTCTCGCCACATCAGGCTGACTCTCACTTCCTCGATATAATATTGGTTCCGTTGGTATCTCGTGTCTCGCTAATAGCTCTGTCGGTACGTCATTGCTCGCCTTCACAATGAGTCCATTGCTCATCGCTTCATGTCTGTGCATTATTTTTGTATTTACGTGGTGGCTGGAACTTTTTCTCTACTCCATAGATGTTAATGGACACGTTGATATTTTTTTTTTCAAATTTGGAGATATCCGATAAAGGTGTAGGGAACGAAATACCGTCAAAATTATATTTCCCCTCGTGTTTGAGGTAATTTTCTCCGATACGATATACCGCCGGCCCAGTCACATGTTTCGCCAATATTGCCCACTTGAAACATTGCTGGTCCGTATTTTGTGGGTTTATCGTAGCCCGCTTCCTATCGATATACGCTGGCAACTCGATATATGACGAGCCGCCCATCGGCGTATATTTATATACTGCTACCAACAACCCGTCTATTGTCTCCAGAGTAAATCCACTGCCTCGCGATTTATACTCTTCCGCCTCGGTCATCAACTTCATATATGCTCTCTCTAAAATCTCCGTAACATTGCTCTCAATAAAAAATTCGACCACCGAAGTTTTAAACGCCCTATTATCTGATGAGTTTGGAACATTAGGTCGGTTGTATGTCGCCTCGAGTTTTAAATTGAATTTAATAGGGTGACGGTGCACACTTGTCTTTAATACATTTTCAAGCTCGGGCATGAGAGACCAGAGAAACTCATCATAAACTTGACAGATGAACAGATTTTTCACATAATGCCAAACTATTTTACGGCTTGCTGATGACGAGATTTCTATAAAGCCGGGGGACTGCACCATATTCAATCTAATTTTTTTTTGCTCTAGCAGCTGACACTGTGTTGGCAGTCGAAACACGTTTCCCGTTAACGGCAAAGGTGTAAGAATCTTTAAAATAAAAAAAAAAACCTAATAGTAATATCAGCCTATTTTATATAAATTTCTATCTATATTTTTATATAAACAGTCTATCAGCCACGCTGGTCGAGTGAGGTTGTGCGCAGCGATCGATAACGTATTATATTAGTGTTTTAGTCACTGTAAAGTATTGTGTCAATATAATGTTATACGATATATCCAAAATTATTAAAAATGCAGTGTGGAAAATGTCATGAAACACTTATTAGGGAAGATGTAATAATCTGTTCTTCTTGTAAAAAAGAATCGCATTTTTACTGTCAAGGCATTACTGAAACTGGATTTGGTAGAATGACGAAAAATACGAAGAACAGGTGGGACTGCAACGAGTGCAAAGTTAGCCGGGAGAGTAAAAAAGGAGATATACAGAGTGTTAATGATGAGAACAATAATATTAAACAATTAACTGAATCAGTACAGTTCATGAGCACTAAATTCGATCAGTGCAATATCACAGTCGGAAAAATACTAAACGAAATGAAAGAACTAAGAGAACAGAACATGAAACTAACTGAAACAAACGACAAACTATCATCTGAAATTCGAGTATTAAAAATTAAAGTTGATGAATTAGAGCAGAAAACATTAGAAAAAGTAGTCGAAATCATGGGCGTTCCACTAATACAAAACGAAGACTGTAAAAATACAGTTAAGGGAATGATAAGTAAATTGAACATTGAATGCGACGTAGTTAAAGCCTACAGAATATCATCTAAACAGAAAACTGATACGAAAATAATTACTTGGTTATCGGATACAAATGCCAAAAACCAGTTTCTTACAACAGCAAAGAAAAACAAATGGACCGCAAATCAATACCAAAGCGACTGGCCTACATCGAAAATATATATTAATAACCACTTGACAAAATTCAAATGATTACTACTGGGTAGGTCAAAGTCAGCGGCGAAAGATAAAAACTACAAATATGTATGGACGAGTGGAACTGAAATATTAATACGGAAAGATGATAACACCAAAGTCATAAGGATCAACGACGAAAATGATTTAAATAAAATAACATAAATTAGATATTGCGATATTAGTTTGTAAGTAGATTATTTGTTCATGCATGATATTATAGATGAGTTAGATAAAGTATATGACCTTAAAACAAATATTTTAACTGATATTAATGATTTAGGATTATATATTGATAATAAAAATGGTTTTACTATATTCCATTTAAATATTAGATCAATTACAAAAAATGTTGACCAATTTCTAGTTATGTTAGATAACAACTTAAATCTTATTGACTGTATAGTACTAACTGAATGTTGGCTAAATAATTGTGTTATTAATTTTGAGATTCATGGCTTTACATCTTATAGAACTAAGGAAAATAATTTTAACCAAAATAGTGGAATTGTAGCATTTGTTAGAAATTAACATAAAATAGTTAAGGTTAGTGAAATTTTCATGGATACTTGTAATTGTTTAAATTTAAGTTTATGTGTTTGTGAAGCGGCTCGTGAAATAATCGTTAAATATAGAGGACATAATAATATTTTCAATAACTTTAAAACTCAACTAAGTGAATTAGTTAATAAAATTAAAACAAAAAGAGTAATCATAATAGGAGACATTAACATAAATATCGCACAAAATAGTAATGATGAATCTAAAGTTGAATATCTAAACCTTATGGCTCAATTAGGATTTATTAGTTGTATAAATGATTATACTAGAATTCTTAATAACAGTCGTTCAAGGATTGATCATATATTCGTAAAAATTAATGGTACCTACTGATAAAGTAAAACCTTTTATATTAGAATCTTATACTACGGACCATTATAGTACCATATTAATAGACAATGAAAATATTAAAAATAAGGAAGAGATTACTAATATAAAATCATTTATAAATATTAAACTATTAAAATCATTTTTAATGAAAGAGAAGTGGGAGACTATATACAACGAAATAGAAGTTGATTCCTGTGCAAATATGTTCCATAATATATTAAATAATTATATAACCCAAGCGACGGAACAAAAAAAAATAACATCGTATCGAGTAAAAGGAAAATTAAGCCTTGAATAACAACTGGATTAATTATATCAATCAGGAAAAGGGACAAAATAGGTAAAATTACAATAAAAATACCTAATGATATGAATTTTTAAACTATTACAAAAAATACAAAAACAAACTGTGTACTTTAATTAGATATGCAAAAAATGAGAACTATAGAAAAAGAATTCGGGATAGTAATAATACTAAAAATCTATGGAAAGTATTTAAAGAGATAACTAACAGAAATGTTAAATATAAAAAAACAATTACACAAATAATTCATGAAAATGATTTGTTGGATATCAATATAGATACACACAAATGTGCCAATATATTTAATAATTATTTTATAACTGTAGGAGAAAAAATAGCAAATCAAATTCAGAATGATAGTAGAATGAAAAAAGAAGTAGGAAAATACCAAAAAAATAATAATGAAAATATAACAGAAAATAGTTTAAAATATACCAAATTTACGCTTGATGAGTTATCGCTAATAATGAATACACTAAAACAAGGTACATCACCGGGATTTGATTCCATCTCGTCAAACTTACTATTACAAATTTCAAACTATGTTGTAAAGCCGCTTGCTCATTTAATTAATTTAAGTTTTGAAAAAGGTATATTCCCAATCATATATAAAAAGCTGTTATATGCCCTATATATAAAGCAGGTGATGAAAGAGAATTATATAATTATAGACCAATTTCTTTAATTTCTTCCATAGCTAAAGTTATTGAAAAATGTGCTAAGATACAACTAAATCGGTTCACCTTTAATAACAAAACTATAAGTGATAAACAATTTGGATTTAGGGACAACATGGGTTGCCAAGAAGCGATTTCTTATTTTTCGAAGTTAATCTATGAATCTTTAGACAAAGGTAAAATATGTTTAGGTATATTTTTAGACATAGCTAAAGCTTTTGATTCAATAGAGCACAACTTACTTCTAAAAAAGTTGAAAATAAGGTGCATTTCCCTGGCACCCCCACTTCCGAATTTTGGATTCAAACCAAGGGCTTTCGTTTGTGCTGGATTGTGCTCGAATTTCATCGTTTGTGCTGCAACCCTTAAAGAGTTATAAGGGATAATGATTGGGGGTGCCAGCGAAACGACTGCACCCCCACCTCACAATTTTAAAATTTAAATTACACCATTCGTTTGTGCTACGTTTGTGCTGGTTTGTGCTCGAGTTTCATCGTTTGTGCTGCAAACCTTAATGAGCTAGAACGGATCTTTAGTGGGGGTGCCAGCGAAATGGCTGCACCCCCACCTCCAAATTTTCAAATTTAAATTATGCCATTCGTTTGTGCTACGTTTGTGCTGGATTATGCTCGAGTTTCATCGTTTGTGCTGCAACCCCTAATTAACTACAGGGGATCATTAGTGGGAGGGGGTGGTATGGAGCCATAATGCAGCCCCGATTCAAAATATTGGATCTCCAAATGAGCCAATCTTTAGTAGTTTGCTACTGATATCCTGTACCACTTTTTCGACGCAGTACTCTACTACTTCCGGAGTTATCCTTATAAATTTAATTAGGGGGTTGTAAAGACGTGCCGGCACCCCCCATATTGAACTGTTTGGTCCAAATCAGTCCCATTGGTTTTGACTAAGTAAGTGCTTATTTGTACTCTTTGTCCCATCGTTATTATTATTTACAAGTAAAAAAAGTTAGGTATAAGCATTTCTTACAAGGGGATGATCTGGAATCCTAAAACGAGGACAGGTGGACTACAGCCCACAGAGTTTTATCGGAAATTGCTTGAGGTTGGTTGGTAAAAGTAATCAAAAGTTGTCCATAGGTGTCTCCTGATCCGTGCATCATTAATCAAAGTAAATTAAAATAATTATTATGAATATCTATTTTTGATTATGGTATTTTGTGATTTATAGGCCTATAGAGAAAATGAAGCAATACAAAAAATTGTAGGAGACGTAGAAACGTACTTGGCTTTGACTGGAATGGAAGAGGATGGTATTTGGGCCACAGACACAGAAATGATAGCTACAGCAATGTTTTTAAATACTCATATTTATGTATACACAAAAACACTCGACAAATATGAATGTAATTTTTTTGGAAAATCTGGATGTTACAAAAATGGGGCAAAAAAAAATGAACAGTGTATATACATTGAACATATAAATGAAAATCACTTTCAAGTAGTGAAAAGTGCTTAGTATTATATTAATTATAAATATGACGAATAAAGATTATTGTTATAATTTTTTTTTTTGTGTAAATAGACACCTAGTTTATAAGTTTTACATTAATAAAAAACAAGGTTGATTTTAAGTAAGCCAACAGTCTAATCCATAATGCTTGACATAAAACAATTTATAAAAGTGTGATGTGCACCAAAGCGAGTTAATCCTGCAACCCTTTAAGTAGTTTCCAAAATGCAACCCATAACAATATGGAAAAATAGTATACAAACATCATTAAATAGTTATATTAGTTGAACTCTAATAGAATCTGAAACTTTTTTTTAACTTTTAATTTTAGAATCTTAGCGAAGCGAACATTTTATATTAGGAAGTAACAATAAAATATTACTAACGTCTGGGTAGGTTTCTATACATTGTGATTTGTAATTCAATAACTTTTGTTGAATACAAATTTACCAGCATACTTATACATACTTGTATGTAAACTAATTTTATTGAAATAAATATTTTCAATTTTAACTGATCCATCAAAAATATAAACAGTGTTGTTACCTACTTATTTTTAAAACTGAAGACCTTGCTTTTTAGTCTGATCATCTTTCTTTTTTTGGAATGGCATCTCGGCTTTTATAAATTTCTGAATCTTGCTTCATAGATAAGTCAAATGAACCTACCTATCTACTGGGCTAGTGGGCTCTGTTAGTTTTAAAACTAGCTATTTCCAAGTTGCCTATAAATTGTTGCAAAGAATCAGTATAATTAAAAATAATAAAATATAAATTGTTATGTTACAATAGAACACACTATATGAACTCCAATTCAGGTAGGCAGATATCTACTCTAAGAGTAGGTAGGTCTCTCGGTGGTAACCATTTGAATTCATTAGTATAATATTTCTTCTTTCATTGTAAACAGGCCAAATTCAATTTTTTTTTTTTGAACCATGGTTCCAAAAAATCTATTATAGATTCATTATTTAAAAAATTAACAGTAGTCATCGTATTTATTGATTTTTTTCAAAGAAAACTACAATCTGAAATACATAACACCAACATAAGCAATTTTTTGTGATTGTCTATACAAATAATGTATAAACAAAGAAAAAGATGTTAAAAAATAAGTGTATTGTTTAATTCCTATATAAACTAGCTTTATATTTTTAGCAATTATATTAGTTAAAAGTCATATTAGTTTTTGTTAGAGATCATTGAACTTTTACTTTAATGATTTTGTGCAGCCTAGGTTTTACAAATCATTGTTATTAAAATTCTGAATTAAAATGTATCTTTGACTAAGTAGGCAGGTAAATTGAAGCCTTGCTTTACTAGCTATTAATCATGGGATTCATCGGTAACATCATATCAAATACATAAATTAAACTTGAATAGGTAACTTTAAATGTTTTGTAGCAACTTATAATTTATACAACTATGCACTTGATCAATGACAACTTTTTTGGTAATCCATGATAAAACGACTACATAAATAGGTACATGATATCATAAGGTTTCAAATAGGTACCTATATAGTACCTAAATTAATACATGTTTATGAATATTTTTATTTGTTCGTCCAATTTGCTGGACTTGGAATATTAAACAATTTAAACATTAAAATATAACTAAAATTTTAGTACCTACCTAACTATGTAACTCTGTTAAATATACATTTTTTTATAA